CAGACTCTCAGTCTGCAGGTCCGGGAGACAGCACAGTGGGCAAGGGACTTGTCAGTGTTCTGCAGGGAAGGGTCTCTGGAGCCAGGTAGACAACAGGGCAAACAAAGTCCTCAGTCCAGCAGGGTAGGGCCTCAGCAGCTGATGACAAGGGAGATCAGTGTGGCGTGGAGCAGCACTCTGGGGTCTGGAGCTCGGCTGTCTGAGCAGTGGTCTGGAGCCTCCTTGAGAGGGGTGCATTCCACCCTTCTGGGTCTTTTTGACAAATGTCTTGACACCCCTGTTGCCAGGGGTGGAGTTTGCCCGGGAGTCTCTGGGTGGTACATGGCTGTTCTGCTCAACCGCCCTGTTTGTAAGTAGGGAATCTCCCCAGGAGCCTATGCGTGGGTGGTCCCGCTCTGCAGACAGGGCTGCTCTGACCACGTGTGCCAGTATCTTAGATGTGTCTCCTTGCCAGATGTGTCTGCTCTGGCTTAGGAAGTTTCCCTCTTGAACCAAAGTGTCCTGGCTGACTGGCAGCCACCTTGGCTGACATGAGTGACTCCACTTTGTTTTATGTACCTGACGCTGTCTTGACCAGAACAATGCCATCGTATTGGTCTTCTCCACATCCAGCTCCTCACTGTACTCTTGTGTGAAGGTCAGGGTCTCTGACTTTTGCTGTGTCCTCAGCACCTAGAACAAAGCCTGTCACAGAGGAGGTGCTGAATTTAAAAACTGCTGAATGCATGAGATTTGATTTTTCTGGCCTTTCCTTCAGGGAACTTAGAGGAAATTTATTCTTCTACACTCCTAAAAATAACAACTTGGAAAACGAACGTCCCTGTACATGGTATATATAACTTTACCCAGCCCGGACCTGCGCTGGGCCCTGGCGCCGTGCCGAGTGCGTTCGCATGTTCTTCCGCATTTACTCCTCTCCAGGACCCGATGCAGCAGGGCCCCTGCTCTGCAGGTGGGAGGCTGGGCCCGAGAGCTGTTAGTCAAGGCCACACAGCCGAGCACAGCCATGGCCGGAGCTGTAACTCCAGGGCCTGTGTGCCTACATCCCCGGTTGTGGGAAAAGCAACTGTTTCATGCAAAACGAGCACCGAGACCCCGGGCAGGCGCGTCACACTTCCATGGGGGTAATGAAAAGGGGCGGAGCTCAGGTGAGGGTCAGGCGGCACCCCTGGGAGGCATGTCATCACGACTATGTACCTTGCCATCATCTGTAAGGTGCATACCCCCAGGTGGCAGGGATCGCCAAGGTGCCATGTCAGGATGCGGCACGAAACGCCACGTGGGCCTCTTCCATGCAGCCCCCAGAGCCAGGGCCCTGCCCCACCTGCCTGCATGACCTCCAGTTCCTGGAACACTCCGTGCGCTCGGGGAGAGCCAGGACTAGAACTTGGTACTTCTGAGTCTGGCCTGTGCCATTCACTACCCGACACCTGAACACGTCCGTGTGGAAATATCCCAGCCCAAGGAGTCACTGTTCCTAGAAACTGCTTAGCGGATCCACCCAGAATCCCACCTTTACCAGCTCAGGTTTACAACCCTCACTAGGAACGGAGGGTCTGAAACACAACCAGGTGACTCCTGCAGAGGCCGTCGGAAACACACTCACAATTACTCCTTTTAGGGGCCCTGCCTCCTCTTGATCCCACGTGGTCCTCAGTGTCCCCAGACAACAGTGACCTGCTCGGGGCGAGGACAGAGGTGGTGTCACTCCAGCACTTCAGTGTGGGGCTCCGGAAGTACCTTTGCTATGAAATGTCTCACCTAACATTGACTCTTCCGAGTTAATCTTACCAGAAGTGTTTGTAAAATGAATTCTGATGTTCTAAAATGGCAAGATACTTTATTTTAAAATCTCGTTATTTTCACACTGCATTGCTAGGTGTGATTTTCGACGTTGCGGCACAGCAAAGCTGTCATCGCACAGCTGCCATTTAACTTATGGTGCATTTTGTTGGATCTTATTTTATGCAATGTATGCGAGTTTAATATAGATGCTATAGCTCTGGGGACTATTTTTCAGGATTGCAAAATTATGTTGTCTGAGATCATGGTGCAAAAATTCCAGTGTAGAGATTTCAAATAAGTGAGTTTTGGAGTCCGGGTATTATTATCTTGGGCTCTTTCTTCTAGTGGAGAGCCAGGCCCAAACACCAGGGTCACAGGTATGGTTCCGTCTGCTTCCTCCTGTCTTATGAGCGCAGGCCACACACCTTTTCCCTGGGCATCCATTGGTGCACACCCCGGGGACAGGGTGATCTGGCTGGAGACAGCACTGCTGCTGGGAAATCCAAGCAGAGTGTTCGCTCTGCTGATGGGTAGACTTGTCGCTCTCACTTGGGCCACACAAGAGCATCCCTTGGGGAATTTTTTTTAAATGCCCCTCCCTGGGACCCCAGAGATTCTGATTCAGTTGGTCTGGGCATGGACACTTTTTAGAGCTCCCAAACAAAGCCAGTGTGTGGCCAGGGTTGACATCCTCCCCCGGGGAAGAGGCAGATGGGACTCGCAGTGGACTGTCGTGTCACCTAGTGCTCCTTTAGGACCAGGCTCACTTCCTGGGGGAGAAGGACGCTGCCTTTGGCTGCACTGCCCTCTCTGCCGTCCGCCACATGTAACCGGCTTCCGGGGCATGACCAACAGTGTTGGGATTTCTTCCAAATGAATAGTAAGAGTTGGTTGTTTTCAACATGATGAGACGTTTTGATAGATCAACTTGCATTGTTTGGTGTTTACTCATCCTTTGAAAGTGTACCCAGCATGAACATCTTCTGACGGGCATTTCCAGAAATATGTTTGTGTTCACAGTTAAGGACAGAACCTAGTGGATGATGTGAGTCTCCAAGGTGAATCATTAGTATGTGTGTGTGCTTTGAACTTTTGGAGAAGTGAATTTTATTACATGTGTTTATATGTCTAGTTGGAGGCTGAGTACCTGTATTGTGGTTGCTCTAACTTTTGTACCAAGGTTAGTGTGACAATAAAGAGAAACAATTATATTCACAGAGCCCCAGGGCCTGGGAGTTCCATCACTGACATTTGTGGGTGCCCCACTCCTACCACGAGTTGGGCTCTTTACTGGACTCATTTCCCCACTGCATTGTTGGCTTATTCTGTAGGGTTTGCCCTTGGGACACACTCCTTCCAAGACCATTTCTTCACTGAAGCCCTCCCAGGCAGCCATTCCACAGTGATGCTTCCTTTGTTAGTGTGAATTACACTTCTCATTTGTTGCACACGAGCTGGTGTTGGTTTTCCTCCCGGCTGCCCGGCCAATTGTACCTCCTCCTGCAGAAATGGGCTATTTCCCTGGAGATTGAGCAGGCCCTCAACTGGTGCCCGTTGAATTGAATTGAAATGTCCATTGAACTGAATTGAAAGACCAGCTCAGAAGATCAGTGTTGAGTTTTATGGTTGATGCACATTTCCGTCCGTTGAAGGCATTGGGTTGGGAGTGGGGAGGCAGAGCAAGAGGCAGAGAAGAAGGGCGGGGAAGAGTGTTCTGCTTTGTCTCTGAGGCACCGGAGGCTGTCAGGTGACAGACTTACGTATCATGCATACATAATAAGTGTGCTTCAGGCCACCGAGGGTGACCAATATGCTGGGGCAGTTGTTCACGTTCTGAAATATCCAAGCAAAGAAAATGGATTAGATGAGTCTTAGGAGCCGGTCTGATGTGTTCAGCTTCGTACCCAAGACAGACCGACAGATCAGGCATGAAGGCATTGAAACTGGAGAGAGTTTCACCTGAGTAAGAAAGTTGTCAAAGTAGACGGACACTAGTCATTTGCACTGGGACTGAGCGGCTTTGTTGGTCAATATCCTTGATGCATCTGAGGTGAACCAACAGCTGCTGTGAATCAGCCACTAAGCTGGGCACTTGGGAGCAATGACAGAGAAAGGCGTGGCCCTGCCCTTGACAGGCGTACAGACTGGCAGGTGTGAAGATGGACTGGGTAGAGTGGAAAGAAAATGAATAGACCTTCTAACTGTCATCTGATGGTGCTCCAGGCACTGTGGAAGCAGCTCAGAGACCGCTGGGGACTTCACACCACCAATCTAGGGCAGGAGTGCATGAACGGTTCTCCCCAAAAAGGCCTGACCACACTGTGTGTGAATCTAACCAGGAGCTTGCATCGACAACCCTTAGTGTCCCCAGACATTCCCGATCCTTCTTGCCTCTTAATCTGTGTGATTCTGTTCCCACAACCTGAAGTGAGACTCTCTGCTTCCCCCTGTCCCTGGGTCTGGCCCATGGCTGCCCACTGCCCAGGGCAGCTCAAGGCTCCCCCGTCCGTGAGGTTTCCATGAGGGGCCCATTCATTCCCCTCCAGTCCTCACCAGGCTTTGCTGTGCCATCTGCTCCCAATCTGCGCCCCCACAGGGCTCCGACCCCTTCAGGGTAGGGACCTCAGCTTTCCTACATGTCTCCATCTCTGCTCCCATTCCTAGCTTATGTAACAGCTCAGCTTCCAAACTGAACTCTGCTACTTGGTGCAAGATTGCGGAGCTAAACGGTTAGATTTGAGGGCTGTGGCCAAGCCATCTGGAAGTGGCTGTGGTGCCTTGCCATTTCTGGGTCTCCGAGGGCTGCTCTGTGTCAGGCCAACCACTGAGGGGACAGAGAGGACCAGACGTGGCTGCCTCTTATTGGGCCCTTCGTGGGCCAGAGCTGTGATTCTGGAGCAGCCTCGACAGTATTGCGCAGGCTGAGCCCCGCGCCTTCTTGTCTGGTTTTGGTCCTAAAGCAGCATCTGTCCCACAGTCCTGCTCACAATGGGAACGCATCAGGTGTAGATACCAAAGGAGTGGAAGCCCACACCGTCCCCACCGGCATCTTAAATGACAGAGGAGTTTGGTGGATGAAGCCATTCGCCCTGGATCGTGTACATTCCCACGGAAAGGGTGCTGGGCAAAGGCGGAGACTGTCTGTGTCCTTGGTGGCCAGTGGTAGTAACGGAGAGTGTCCTGTACACTGTTCCCCACCTCCTGTCACCCCTCAGAGTGCTGAGCAGATCGCTGAGCTGTGCAGGAGTTTCAACGACACACAGACCACCAGCATGCAAGGGCCGAGGGAGAGCCGGGACCCCCCTCCGAGGCCGCTGGCCCGCCACCTGTCTGATGCCGATCGCCTCCGCAAAGTCATCCAGGAGCTGATGGACACAGAGAAGTCCTATGTGAAGGTAACGAAGGTGCTGTGCACTGTCCCCTGCTCTCTGTCTGTGATGGCCAGCGGTACGGCGGCAGGGCCCCCAGGTTGTGCACCTGCCCTCGGCCCCACCATGCACAAGGCAGAGCTTGCCCCTTAAAGAAGTGAACTGCTGCAGAGGAGGGGCTGGGCTGAGACAGTGGAGATGCTTAGGGGACTCAGAAAAAATGAGATTCTCGGCTCATTTTGTTACCAAGGTAGCTTTCGCTATGGAAACAGATGTTCTAGTTTGTCATTTGCAATCTGTGGGAAGGGAGTCGGAGTGGAGGGGCAGAGATCACGTTAGGGGGCGAGGAAAGGGCACAACTGTTTATGAGCGGCTGCGAGGCAGGCCCAGACCCTGCTGATGGCGGTCGGTGCAGGACAGGGTCCCACGGCTCATCCGATGGCATCACATGTGTGCTTCCCACACAGTCACAGGGGTGGCTCTGAGCATCTTTAGAGCCCAAAGAATTCAATTATTTACTTCTGAAGCTCCCCACTGGTGTTTGAGAAACGTTCTCTGAAGAGCACAGGAGCCGGGAAGACCGTTCTTTTGCTTTAAGCACTTACTGAGGCTTTGGAACTATATGACCCTCGCTTGGTTGGCTGAGTGCTGGACACAGCATGGCACAGGGTGGTGGACGGGGCCCCAGTCTGCCCAAGTGGCCTGGGGCAGTTCCCTGCAGCTCCCCACTCTGGGCTCTGAGACAGGTCTGCCTTTGGAGCTGCAGCGCCGCCAAGCACCTGGAATTAAACCTCGGCACGCACACACTGGTGCCTTTCATCTCCTTTCTCTGCCAGACAGACCTGACCTTCACCTTTTGTTCACGTCACTGTCATTTCATGTGGACAGGAGCAAAGGCTTTATTCACAGATAGCTCTGGAGAACTACCCAAAGCCCCCCTTTTGGTCCCACAGGGAAGAAAGGACAACTATAGAGATGACACTTCATTTCCCATTACGTCTTGACCTGTATCTACGGTGGGGAGAGGAGGCGAAATTCCAGGCAGCTCTGTGCACTTGTGGGTGTTTGAGGCCACGGGGCTCTCTTGGCACCTGAGGATGGTCACGGGGCTTTGGCCGCAGGGCCCAAGTCCCTTGGTACCAGTATTGTGGTATTTTCCTGTGAGGCCACATGGCACTAGGGGGCTGTTTCTTCATGGTGCTGCTGCTGAGAGAGTAGGGACAGAGGTTTGGGCGCAGCGGACAGAAGGGACCTTCTCTCTGCAAGAAACATGCACTTTGTTTCCTTAGGCCCCAGTGTCACCGCTCCTCGACCCCCGTGGGTCCGCGAGGACTGCTCTCGGTGTGTAAGTCCCCCTGAGCAGCATCTGCGGCACGAGCAATGACAACAGCCTGTCACTGTCTCTGATGAAATAACCAGCACCTGGTGTCTCTTGTGATTCACACACACATCGATTTTCATGTGTTAATTTGTTGTTGCTGCTGACATTTAACACAGAATTTTACTTGTTCATGCATCTAACCTGGATCTCTGCATGCGACTTGGAAATGTGGACACTGTGTGTGACCTTGAGCTAGGATTCAGTCACTTCTCCCACCTCCCTGCCCAGAAGCAGCTGCCCGGGACCTGGGGACAAGGGAAGGCCAGGGGCTTCCACTGGGAACCAGCAGGAGGCACCACAGGCCCACGCGCCTGCTCTCAGGACCTAGGATGAGGCTCTGGAAACTTCGGGCCTTACAGAGTTCAAGGTTTCCCGCTGTGAAGTGAGGGAGCCTGAGTAACTGACTTGGTGGTCAACTACTCCTGATATCTTAGCATCCAAAATTCTTCCGAATAAACAAGACAAGAAAAAGAAATCTTTTCTATTGCTAAATTACACCCTGGTCTTGGCTTCAAATAATTAAATAAAAATACCCTTTCTTCAAAGGGTTCTGTAAATATAGTCAATTCCCACTCTGCTATCCTGCTGGGGCCCTGTTTATTGGACCCTGAACTAAGGCCTGGATCGTAAACTGTAACTGCTAATGTTTGGAATTCTCCCCTCACACTCGAGCACTGGAGTTTGAAATTCTGTTAGTGCTTCCACCCCAAAGCAGGAGAGTTACCCAGATCTTGTCCTGTTCCTCTCAGCTCCACGCTGGAACTGTCACTGTGTCCCCTGAGGCCAAGGAGGCTGCTGGGTCAACCAGCAGGTGGCCAGAGCTGACAGAGCACTTAGGCAGAGCTCAGCCTCCTGCAGGGACACGCGTGCTCCTGCTGGGGTAGGTGGTCAAGCTCTCAAGAGAAGTGTGCCGTCCAGCTGCTGAACGGGTTGTGGTTTTAACCCCTTTCAATTAGGTGAGTGGTCATAACTACTTTCAAGGTCAAGAATTTCAGCAAGACATGAACTTCATCCTTCCTGTTGGGAGTCTGGAACTGTGGCCAGGGCTGCCAGAAACTCTCGGGTGTCTCGCAGACTTAAGTGTTAAACACCCTGTTTGTGTCTTTCAGGATCTGAGCTGCCTTTTTGAATTATACCTGGAGCCGCTTCAAAATGAGACATTTCTGACCCAAGATGAGGTACATAATCACCTTCCCTCTGTCTTTTAGGAGATTACATCCTCTGAACCCCAAAGAACATCCAAGACTTAGGGTCACCAGAGACCTGAGCATGGCTTCCTCCAGAGCCAGAACTGGCCTCAGTGGCAGAGGGCAAGGTCATGCGAGTTCCCAAGTGTGGGTTGGTCCTGCCCTTTTTGTAGTAGGTGCGGCCAATGACCACTTTTTAATGCATGGCATTTTAAAGTTAAATCACAGGAATTAGTTCTACTGACTCCCATCCCCACCCCCCCAATTTGCATTCTGAAAATTTTACATCCACTTCAGTTATTTTAGAATTAGGGGAATCAGAGTTATAGACTCCCTGTGTAGAAACTGCACCCTGTAATGAATGGGCTCTCCTCTGAAGGATGTACTTCTGTCTGCCTCTCAGTGAGGGACTAGTGGTTTGTCTGTGCATCGGGGAGCTAGAGCAGGACCCAGCTCTCCATTGCCTACACCCTGTTTTTGACTCCTGATTTTCACATAGATGGAATCGCTCTTCGGGAGTTTGCCAGAGATGCTTGAATTTCAAAAGGTGTTTCTGGAGACTCTGGAGGATGGGATATCGGCGTCATCTGACTTCAACATGCTTGAAACCCCCTCGCAGTTTAGAGTGAGTATTTTCGACGTCAGCCTCAGGCAAAGAGTGGCGGATGCAGCAGAATTCTCTCACGAGAAAGAAACTCTTGTCCTCTGTCTACAGGCAAGATAACGAGTGCGTTCCTTGCACCATTTCCCTCTGGTAGGTGGTGTAAGTGGGGCACGTTTTTGCCCGAGAGTCAGTGCTCAGGCAGCCGTGCCCGTGCCTGGGTGGTGGCTGCGACCCTGCTTTCACGCACGTCCGATGCAGGGGTGCAGGGTGACGGTGTGTGACCCAGGAGCACCTGCTGCCCCTGCTTCTTTGTCTCTATGGTCATGTGACCCTAGGATGAAGGCACAGGTGAATTGTTCTGGGAGCGTCTCTCCTATGGAGCCCTGTCTCCAAGGTGAGCACTGGCGCCTGGCACGGAGCCCCTGCAGGGAAGGCAAAGTGGAAGCCAGGGCCCAGGGCCCAGGCGAGTACACAGACAGCACTGTGCACCCCAAGTGCGGCCCAGTTAGCCTCGCAGCTCTACGTATGTATATGGAGATATCCACATACAACCTCTGTCCCACTTTGTCAGATGTGCTTCTGGAGCTGCTGCTTGTCCTTTGATTGCTCCTCCGCCAGAAAGTTTCCGGTCAAAGTCCAGACCTGCTGGGAATGCCAGCCTCTTCTCTGTCTGCAAGCCCCTGGGGCAGGTGACGTCCCGAGGCAGGTGACGCCCCGAGGCAGGTGCTCCGAGAGACAAGCCCCCTTGACACCAGGGCAGTCCAGCGCCGTGCGGGGCCAGCGGCCAGCAGACCCCGACTAGACCTTGTCTGACGTGACTTCTCCCCGCTTTCCAGAAACTGCTGTTTTCCCTGGGAGGCTCTTTCCTGTACTATGCCGACCACTTCAAGCTCTACAGCGGATTCTGTGCTAATCATATTAAAGTACAGAAGGTTCTAGAGCGAGGTAAGGTGCTCGTAATGGTCAGAGCTGTGCTTTTTGTATTTTTAATTGTTAACAAAGAACAAATTTATATTTAACAAGTAAGAGTAAGTGCAGTTTTAATGGACCTTGTTCCATTCTTGACCGTGAAACTGACAGACGTTAAAGGTCAATCTGTTGGTCAAAGTGGACCTGTGCTAGGAGCAGAGAGGGGGCTTAGACACGTGTCACTTGGCTGTTAAGCTACGGCTGGATTCCTTTTAGCCAAAGGCTTTGATCTGAAAACTTGGACGCATATGCCCCTGGGTGGGGATAGAAAATGTACACTGTTTTCTTTTTTGTTAATCTTATTCTTAAGCCTGAGACATTATTGCAAAAGAAAAAAAAACCCACCATCAAGCTCATAAGAAGTGAGTTAGATAAAATTAAAGCCTTTTAGAATTAAAAACCCACTGCGAAAAAATTGGTTTGTTCCGGCTCATGTCTTGCCACTGAAGTACCTTTCATCTCTCCATGCTTTTACCACCATATTTTATTTTACTGGCTTCCACTGAAGACTTTTACTGTCTTCGGTCCAAGTAGACCTGGGTGGTCATCATTCTCCCCCCCAGCTGACTGCACACATGACCTTGTGGGGCTGAGAGAGGCCTGCACTCAGGGCTCAGGACTGCAGTGGGTCCACTGTGGACACAGGGCCGGTGCACTGACCACGTGCGCAGTCAATGGGCCGGCTGGTCGGTCCAGCCTGGAAAGGGCCTTCGAAGATTTGGTGACAGCGATGACCTTCTTCAGGGGTGGGAGTATTAGAGGGCATCTTTATACTGCAGTCACCACAACCGCGTCATGAATTTGACATTCAGTCTCTTCCTGTAAAGCCCTCTAACCCTGAGATGCGTCACTGAGGCTGTTCGGTTACCAAAGGCTGCTTCCACCTCCTGCAGTCCTCACTGTCCCTCTCAGAAGATGTTCCCTGTCCCATTCTTTGGAAAGCTCGTGTCTGCTGCAGAGACGAGAGGAGGAAGCGTCAGTGATGCAGGCCCAGAACCCTGAGCTCGAGGCTGCGAGCAGCAGTCAGTCCTCACGGAGATCATGCCACCAACACGGGTCCCCAGGAATGGCCTTCCGCTCTGCTCCACGTCGTGGAACGTCCTATGAGAACACACGTAACCCCATTTAGGTTCATCTGAACTGTCCCCGGAAAAGGTCGCCAGGCTACCTGTATTCTCTAGAGTATTCTTAGAGATACGATGCCAACCTACCAAAGTCTGACCTGTCATGATGTCATGCGTTTCCAGGATAAAAATGACTTCTCCAGGATTTGAATGCCTTCTCTGGAATTACAGGAGACCCTCAGCATGATCTGCCACCCCTCTGGTGGAAGCCAGTGGACAGGCGCTGTCATCCACAGCGATGGCAAACAGTTGAGGCGGTTCTGTATCTGAAGTTTTTTAGTTGTGCCAGCAGGGCGGCAGCAGCCAGGCTAATCCCAAGCCGCCTCTTCTGTCATCAAATGCCTCTTAATGGCCTTGTCAGAGAGGATCTGGAGTTTTCTCTTCAGTGTTGCTTTCTCAAAGCCAAAGGGGGAGGTCTACTGGGACCTTATGGTTGATCCTGACACTGAGAGTTTCACCAGCTCCACTGTGTGGTGCAAACCCAGAATGTCGGAGTATCCTAGAGCAGGTTCAAGTTTAAAAACACAGCCTGGAGTGCTTCTGGTTCACCAGACCTGGCTGAGCTCCTTCTTCTCCAGTTCTCCAAACAGAGATCAGCCCCCACCAGGATTTCCTCCCAACATCCATGGTTTGCTCAATTCCTCCCCCGTCACAAGGATGAAGAAGGGTCACCTCACCACAGGCGTTGTCGGACAGTCCCATTCAAAGTGCTGCTGCATCTCTCAGAAGTTGCAACTTTTGCCTTTGTAACAAAACCTCAACAAAGGGTATATATTCTTCAAATTGGCTGAATCCGGAACAGCTGGGCAACCCTGCGGTGGCATCTGAGCAGCAGTTGGCGTGTTCACTGGCACTTTCAAAACCCAAGGCACTGGGGTCCCGGGTGCGCCCTTCATGACTGCGGATGAGGCACACCAGGTGGCTCTCGCTGCCCAGGCATATCAGGCGCTAAATCCGCTGGAAGGTGTAGATGGTTTGGAGCTGGGGAGGCAAAGGCTGCAGTACTTAGCAACTTATTTTAAAGGAAAAAAGATATTGCTTTACGAGTAGCCCTTAAGTACATAGAGTAACACTTGTTGCTAAGGCAGTGGAAAAAATACTGGTTTATATTGCTCTAAGAGTCTTTTGAGGGTTGTGGTGTAAGAGCTGGATGACACTGTGGTGTGGCTTTAGGAGCGTTTGACTCACTTTTTAGGTACCTGTCCCAATCTCCCTCCTGGGTCAGTGTTCCCTTTTGGTGTGTGGACAGTACTATTCTCACAGCCTCATGAGCTCCCTCTGCCCGAGGATGGGCACAGCTCCGATGCTGAATCCGTGTTGGCAGCTGGGCGCCTTCCCCACTGGTGCACCGGGGATTTTATTGGAGAATGGCGTTAGGAGAACTATAGACGTGCCCGACGTGTAACTCCACTCAACACTAAATGCAGTAGGAGCGAACTCATCCTGCCGTGCTCTTCTGAGGCTCTTTTCTCCGTGTGCACGATTGCAGCTAAAACTGACAAGGCCTTCAAGGCCTTCCTGGAGGAGCGGAACCCCACCAAGCAGCACTCCTCCACGCTGGAGTCCTACCTCATCAAGCCGGTGCAGCGAGTGCTCAAGTACCCTCTGCTGCTCCGGGAGCTGGTGTCGCTGACGGACCAGGACAGCGAGGAGCACTACCACCTGACAGGTGAGCGCGCAGGGCACACAGTGCGTCGCGGGGCCGCGAGGCCGGTGAGCTCCCCGCTCCCTATGCTAACACATTTCTCAGCACTGCAACTGTTAATCGTAGATAGGATTTTAACATGTGCCAAAAGCTAGATCTATGGCTGTCCCTTGAGACGGGCAAAGTCCTTGGCAACAGTGACCTCGCTGGAGTGGCCCCAAGTCCCACCTGGAGGGAGGGATGATCCCATTATCACTTCTAAAAGTAGGTCATTTGAGCCCAGAGACGTGAAAGGGATTAGGTCGGGTCACTCGGTTAGCAAACAGGGCTGTGAGCGCTGAACACCAGGCCGGTTTCCATCCTGTGAGGCTTGGTGTTTGCCGCACCTGGCCCAGCAGGTCCAATGTGCTGGGAGTGGCTCCACCTTGTGGAGGTCTCCAGGCAGCGCCTGCCTCGGAAGCCAAACTCCTAATGACGGCGCCGAAGTGTCTTCTGTCACCTCAGACATTACGGGCCTCAGCTCCAGCTTGTCCAGGCCACACAGCCCCTCAGTGTGATGGTGAGCAGAGCTGCCCCTGGAGGGAGACGGGGTGCGACTGCAGAGAGACAGTGACTGTTCTCCCAGGTCAAAACCAGGGGCCAGTTGAGCTGCATGTAGTTACACCTGGGCACCGGAAAGCCCAGTAAATGCTGCTTTTCCTGAATAAACAGCACCGAGAAGAGTGTCAGTTAAACTGGCTCTTTCACGATGCAGACATACTTTTATGTCATAAATAACAAGGACAAAATATTTTTAGTATGGAAGTGAAGTTCTATAAGTAAGTGGTAGAAATTACGATTAATACTCCAGATGCTGGGTGGAAAGTTCATTTTGCATCAGGATGGCCTTCGCAGGTGTCCTGTTCAAAGTGTTGCCCTCCACAACTCTCTCCAGACTGAATCCAAATGCTGAGTCAGGACAACAAAGCATGAAGTGACCTGAAATCTGTTTTTGAACCTTGGCAAGATCATCCTGTCCCTCATAGGCCTGTGTAAAAAAAATACAAATAAACACCACATGTAAATGCAAACAATTTCCCTGGCAAGGAAGCATTGACAAAGGCATCTGTCAGTTCTTGTTCAAAACCGTGACAGATCACAGTGCCAGTAAGTCCAGGAGCAGAGGTCAGTGGGACAGCGGGTGCCCTGAGGCCAGCCTCAGTGTCAGGGCTGGCTCCACTCCTGGTGTCCCTCCGCGGAGGTCTGGCAGAAGACATCACCTCTCCGTGCCTTAGTATTCTCACCTGTGAAGTGGGGTTGGTTACGGTTCCTGGAGTCACTAAGTTGTGGGGATTAGATGGGATCATTCACATCAATGACCTCACAGTACATGCCAAACAGAAGGTGCTCAATTAAGGGGGTAGCCGTTATTATGCGCAATACTTTTTACTTCCTTTCTTACTGCCTCATTTCAAAGAGAATTTGAGTTGGAAGACAATTCTAGATTAGAATGGTCCGTTGGAGCCCACTCTGGATAACGCTGCTGTTAAGAACCGGTCTCAAATCCTGGCTTGAATCTTGAGCTTTTTCCTTACTGCTCTCAGAGAATTTGAGACGAGCAAAAACTATAAACTAAACTTGACCTCCTGTTTCACAGAAGCACTGAAGGCAATGGAAAAGGTGGCCAGCCACATCAACGAGATGCAGAAGCTCCATGAGGACTACGGGGCCGTGTTCGACCAGCTGGTGGCAGAGCAGAGCGGGCCTGAGAAGGAGGTCAGTGGGCTGCTGAGCTGCGAGGCCTCAGACCTGCGTCTGCAGGTGACCTTCAGACGAGGCCACGCCGTTAGGGCTTTGCTGCAGGAGGGACTGCCTGCGAGTCTCATGGGGACCTTCGTGCTCATAACGAGTCAGCCACACAGTTTAGGTATAAAGGTACCAAATTTCATTCATTGGTTTAAAAACGTAACCTTACGTCATTTTAACACTACGAAAGAAAACAAGGAAGGTCACTGAGCTGCTCCTCCCTTCCCAGGGGAGAGAGGGCAGGAGGCGGGACCGATGTGGACAGCCGGCACCAGCAGAGCCGGGGTGGGTGGAGGAAGCAGGAGCCAGCCTGTGCAGAGAACCTGGGCTGTTGCCTCTTTCATTTGTTTCTTTTTGGCATCAAATATTGGTGGCTACCTTCTAACTTCCAAAAGTAGTTCAAGTGGAATTGACAATTTCTGTATTTTTTTCCCAGCTGATCACTAAATTTAGAATCTAGAGCTTTTCAAGGTGACATATAAGAAGCAATGTAATTTAGGTAGAAAAAGGCAAGAACAGAACACAGCTGGAGTTTAATTTTTTATCACAGTCAGCTTCAATGCTGATATTTTTTATTAGGCCAAGAGTAGTTTAGGGATTAGAGGTGGTTCCTGGGGAAATGTGAACAAAGGCACTGCGGACGGCTGGACACCGTGGAACTCACGCTGTGGTCCAGAGGCATCTCACCCACAGGGAATGAGTCGGACTCAGGTCTCAACTCAGTTCTCAAATACTTCGGTTTTCAACCAAATATGTTCGTGGAAAAATGTCTCGGTTGTCGAACAAAACTTCGGGTCTTGACTTTCTACCCGACAACCCTTTCACGTTGATACCTGTATGATCAGTCACGTGGCTCGCAGGTGACGAAGGAGATTTGGTTTTAGAACAAATTGCTTCTTGAACAGTTTTCCGGAATGAGGTTTGAAAACCGAGGTTCCACTGTATGTGCACTGAAGCGAAATGCCTTCACATTTGTTATTTTCCAAACAGTCTGATGCTTAGCTTGTGTTTCCAAAATCTCCACTGTCTGCCCTGGCCGGGATAGCTCAGTTCATTGTCATCCTGTAACTGAAAAGCTGCAGGTTCAATCCCAGTTCAGTTATGTGCGATCCACTGTCCACATGCATACGAGAGGCAACCAATTGATGCCTCACCCTTGCATCGACGTTCCTCTCTCTAGGTGAGGATAAAAAAAAAGTCCTCCACTATTTAAGGCACCATGTTCACAGGGACCTTAAAATCAAACTGAATGTCCGTGCATGTTGGCCAAGACCATCCACGTGTGATTCGCTCTCCAGCACGCACCTGCCCCCGGGGTTCCACATCTTCATCTCCTGTGTTTCCTTTAGGTCACAGAACTGTCAATGGGGGAGCTCCTGATGCACTCTACGGTTTCCTGGTTGAACCCATTTCTGTCTCTAGGAAAAGCCAGAAAGGACCTTGAGCTCACGGTGTTTGGTTAGTACGCCTTTCCAAAGACTGTAAACTAAAAGAGGCAGGCGATCGTGAAGCGCTTCCTCAACCCACCAGTCCAGCTAAGTCCCGATTTCCTGACGGAACTAGAATCATTAAGTTTTTGACTTAACCATTTAAACCTCCACCGCTCTGCATACTCATTGCCTTGTTCTCCCGTCCACTGCTTGGCTCAGCGGTTCTCCCCAAGTGTTACAGGAAAAGAGCGCCCAAGGCTGTTTTGAAACCTGCTGACCTAACAGTTCGCTGCACTTCAAAATGTCTTAATTCTCTCTCACCGAGAGCCAGCACGGCGAGTATAGATGGTGTTTATGCTCTGAGATGAACACCAGATTCTCAGGCTTTAATGAAACAAAACAAGAATTTTTTAAAATTCTAAGATCTACATCAGATAATGGTTTTTAAATAGGCAGGTACTTCTGCACATGCAAATATGCACAAAAGAAGCACCATTTATTCACTCATGTGCTGGCCTAGTGAGATGGTAGAGGCTCATGAGTTGGAAGAGCTTTGTTCTATTAAAATATCCAGTTCCGGTTGAACCTTGGAAGTATCTGTATAAAATAATGAAAGACTTTCTCTTTTCTTTTCCTTAGTTTTTAAGAGAGCTGTCATATTGGTTTATAAAGAAAACTGCAAACTGAAAAAGAAATTGGTAAGACAAGAATGAATTTTAATCAAAGCTACCATTTCATGGCTGTATTTTCCTATTAATGTTGAACTGAGAAGCCAGCTAAGAACCCAGGCATCACTAACCGATCGAACTTATTGCCAGGGTAATAACCCAATCAAGTACTCCGGGTATCTCCTTTTCTCCCTACGCAAGATGGCCATTTTCTACAAAGACATAGACAAATACCCATACTTGAACTACATAGAAAATCAGCTTTCATGTCTCTGAAAATGGTCCAGGCTTGCTCCATACACACGAGAGTCTGTGTAACTTTGGCTTGTTTTCAGATGACTTTTACCTTGAAACCCCCTTACCCCTGACAAAAACTAGCTGTGGGCACATAAGCCTTCGGTTTACCATTCAGACCCAAGGCTTGGTTGTCATTCTCGCCTGGCCACTCACAACTCTGCTCCCCAAACCATGGCTCCGCCTGATCCCTGCGCAGCCTGTGAGCCCCTTGGGCACTGGGAGCCTGAGCTGACCCCTCTGGCGCCCCGAACACACCCACCCGGTTTGGAGGGGCCTGGCACCTGGGAGAACTCCGGGCGTCCACCCGGTGCATGCGTACCCCTGGGTGAGAGCTTGCTTTAACCTTTTCTTGGGGACTTTCACATTACAGCCCTCCAATTCCCGGCCTGCACACAGCTCTGCTGACTTGGACCCATTTAAGTTCCGCTGGTTGATCCCCATATCCGCCCTTCAAGTCAGGCTGGGGAACACGGCAGGTAAGTGTTCCCGGCAGTGCAGCGCCAGAAAGCACGTTTTGGACTTATGTGGATGGCGGAAAGAACATAAGAAAGAACCTTGGCGATAATTTTTGATGTTTTATAGACAAGGAAAGTGAGGATGTCTCCTCATAGAGTTTTGAAGAAAGTAAATGCCAATGGATGGCTTTTCTTAGGTCCTTATTTTTACTATCAATACTTTTTCCAACATTTTTCTTCCTGCCTAATATCCTTGATGCCCTAAAATTTGTTCAATTCTTCATAGATGAAGCAGTATCATAAATGATGTAAAAAGGAAAAAAAATCTTCAACCCTGTAAAACGTGGAGAAATCCTTCCCAAGTGACCGTGTTCCGGTGACAGTGTCTCTCTGCTGATGGAAAGAACCAACAGGCAGTGACATTCTAGGCAACAGGCAGTGACATTCTAGGCATCTGTTTAATTTCTGTCAGAGCAGTTATGCTTCCCACAACATGCCTGCCTTTGGACTTGGCCTCTTTCACCTCAATAACCTGAGCACTTCCCACCTACTGTTCCTTCCAAGGAACGGGGTTGAAACATGGGACCCATTTAACCCCTTCCCTAGAGACACGGAGCCCAGGGATAGGGAGGAAGCACCAAAATGAGTGGAAAACTTCATCAGCAGATGTAAAAAGTAGCTAAAAAGTATTCTAACGTCGTGTAAGTACTTGTGGAAGTCATACACGCAATGCACCACAGGATGAGAATCAGGTTGGAAGTATGTGACGTTTGAAGAAGTGACTAAATGATGGGCTTTACGTTTCCTGAGCGTCCGTTCCAGCCTTGTTGGCAAAGCTGTGCACTGTCGTTTCTCTCGCCCTTTACCAGGGACAGAGAACAATTCCGTGTGGGAGCTGATCCACACCAGGTCGGAGACGGAGGGGCGGCCGGAGACCGTCTTCCAGCTGTGCTGCAGGTAGCGCCGGCTTCAAGGTCGGGAGTGAGAGAGAACGATGGGCTCGGAAAAGGGGGATTCCTTTTAGTGCCTCCTGCACTCTGATGACTTCGGGATCACACCCCGCCACCCACAGGACACCTGAGGCTCTAGTGTAGCATACACTGATTAAAACTGGGCCCAAGTCCTAGCGCTCCACAGACAAGGGACACAGAGGTTGGTGACTCGGAGCACGAAGACACTGGACACTAATGCTGTTCTCTCTCCCTCCCCCGCCCCCAGTGACAGTGACAGCAAAACCAGCATCGTCAAGGTGATTCGATCTATTCTGAGGGAGAACTTCAGGCGTCACATCAAGAGTGAATTTCCCCTGGAGAAAATGTGCAAGGACCGCCTGGTGCCCCTTAAGAACCGGGTTCCTGTTTCAGCCAAGTTAGGTGAGAACTTTGCTGGCCTCCAGTGTAGTCAGCAAAGCCGAGCTTCTCTAAAAGGAGACAGGCTCTTGTGATACGGTGGTAAGTCACCACTTTGTAAACTACCCGGGCAACTGTGAGCTCTAACTCAGACGCCCAAACGCACAGGGCGGTGCGAGACGCCACTGGCATATTTATTTTCTTTTAAGAAACCTGAACACGAACCCTTGCTCCCAGACCTCCTTTTATACAACAACCGCCCCTCAACCCCACACTCCTGGCTTAGCACCAGTGGACACGGGCTCTGCCTACCATCTGCCCTGTTTCCCCGATGAGACGGACAGGAGTCCAGGGACTCGGCCCCGCTCACTGCAGCAGTCCCGGTGCTCAGAACAGCGCAAGGCATCTACAAAGTCAGTACTCAACAAATTAAGATCGAGAAACCTAAATATTCTTATCCAATCAACAGGTCAGGAGGTATACATTTCAGATCACTCTAGTCTTATTCTGCCTGTTTTAAATTTTGACCTTAAGTTTTTAGAAACTTCTTTCTATATTAACTATTGTTATTATCTTTGATCTTTTTTTTTAACACTTACAAAATGTATATGTCTTTTTTTTGGTCACAGTTTGAGCTCTTCCAATTAACTATGTAGTTTCTATTTTCTCCCTCTCTTGCCGAAATAAGCTGGGGCCATGAAATCAGGGTATCGTCCGCACAGACACCACAGCTGAGAGTTCCTTCCCCCGAGCCCAAGAGAAATCAGTGACATGCCCACACAATGATTAAATGTTCCTATTAAATCTCTGCAAGTTGGTTGGAAGTTCCAGCAGAGACACGTCCCATGAGAGATAAAGAGCATTTTCTACTTTTAATTAAGCAGCAAGGGAAATAAACAGTGAGAAGGTAGGCCCAGGAAGAGAGTAATCTTGGTTATCATATTACAAAGTAAGTTAGTGAAGAAAGGGAACCTAAATTTTGTAACTCTTCAATTGACCCATTAGTAAAACAAGAATCCTAGCCCTCAATAGTTCATAGCTTATTTTTCTATCTAAATAATTGAGCTCTGATGACTAGTCATCTAAAAACACCAAATCCCTCAATGTAGTTTCAGATAAAATTTCTACACTTGTAGTTCAACGTTCTATTTTGCTCAAGCTCCAGGCCACGTGGTAACTGAAGTGAGATGATAGAGTCTTAGGTAATTCAGGTATTAATCGTACAACTTACAGCACACACTGTGGCGGCCGTTTCTCCATCACAAGGGCTCCATGTGCTCTTCTCCTTGCAGCTTCATCCAGGTCCCTGAAAGTCCTCAAGAACCCCTCCAGCGGTGAGTGGCCCGGCGAGCCCGGCAAGGGCAGCTCGCTGGACTCCGACGACGGCAGCCTGAGCAGCGGCACCCAGGGCAGCGGCTGCCCCCCGGCCGGGGGCGGGCAGGACTCCCTGAAACACCCCGACGCAGGCCTCCCGGATTTTCCAGACGGCCTCATCAAAGAGAGCGATATTCTGAGTGACGAGGACGAGGACTACCATCAGGCCCTGAAGCAGGGCAGCCCCACCAAAGACATCGAAATCCAGTTCCAGAGACTGAGCATCTCCGAGGACCCGGACCCTCACCCGGCCGAGCAACAGCCCAGCACGGACGGCCCGCCGGGGGCGCAGCAGCGCAGGCTGGTCCGGGGGCACTTCTGTGCCATTAAACGAAAGGCAAACAGCACCAAAAGGGACAGGGGAACCCTGCTAAAGGCACAGATGCGTCACCAGTCCCTTGACAGTCAGTCTGAGAATGCCAACCTCGATCTCAATTCCGTCCTTGAGCGAGAATTCAGCATCCAGAGTCTGACGTCGGCCGTCAACGAGGAGTGTTTTTATGAAGCGGAGGGCCACGAACAGTCTTAGTGGCCTCGGCCCTGATGCGGGGTAAACTCGTCTCGCCTCCGAACTGGTGGTGAAGTGGAGATTGCAGAAAAACGACTCATCATTGGGTTTTGTGCAGTATATATTTTCCCACAAAATAGTTGTAAAGATTTAAGTTATTTTAATTTATTGTGGATCAGAAAACTAGATTAACCTGGTCAGAATCTGTAAATTAGTTTACATCCCTTTTGAGCAGGTATCAAAATGACTTAGAACTCTTAAAGCTGAGTCTAATTATTTTAATTTATGTGGAAAAAGTAAGGTGGGGAAGTTGTGATTAATAGCTTTTTAAAAAAGTCATGTTTTTCAATCCTCTGGGCATTTTCTTTGAGCTGTTAGTTTTGCTTTATTTAAAGCATATTTAAATTATTTCGATGTGGGTTAGGGACACAATGTGCAGATACTCCATTTTTGTAAGGTGGTAATAGATGCTGTTTATACTAAACATGTCATATCTATGCAGTATATATTAAAAGGAAGCTCGTACTGTAACTTGACCACCATACTTATTTTCTCTAGCAAGCTGTACAGTAAACGGGGAGGAGTCCCCTCTCGTAACTGGCGGTCAGAGCACACGGAGGCCCGGCCTCGTGACGGGCGCTGTGCGTCTGGCCGGCCCCCGCATGGCAACTACAGCCTGGAATGCCCCCTGTCGTCCTCTTGCTCCTGACTTCTGCATTTATTGTCCCTGCATTCTTCTCTGAAATTATAAGCAAAGAGCTGTGGGTCTTCATCACACATTTTCCGGTACACATCACAGAGGCTCCCGAAGTGGGAGACGGAGAGGTGGGTGGGGCGGAGGGTGGGGTCCACGTCCGCCATCTGCAGCAGCTTTCCGGTGCTTTCTAAGCGCTGCGCTTCTGGGAATAGCATTCTAAGAAGAGGAAAAGACCAGAATTTTACTTTAGGAATGCCGTAAGCCCCGACGCCTCCTTTTGTCCTCACTGGAAAATGGCACGGCCCTGACAACTGAAGCGACCACAAGGTGCAGCGGGAGCTGCGGGCCTGCTGCCTGGCTCTGAGCCCGGGAGGAGGAGGGCTGCCGGTTCCCCGGCAGGCGGCAGGGCCGGCGCCGCGGCAGAGCTCATCTGACCCGCAGGCGTGTGCTCCCGGGAAAAGGTCCCCAAAGCTAGGTCTGTACACGCGTCTCCAAGGTAAGTTTAAAGTAACATCTGTTCAGTCGTATTCTTAGAAACAGAAGTTTCATTTGCCACATTTTTCAGTACAAAAGTTGTTGATTCCTGTGTGTCATCATCAGATTTGACTGTTTATAATTTCAACGTAGCTTTGGAACTCTTCACCCCAAAATAACCTTTCTTCACAAAGTTAGAAAACAGTTGATGGGAAAATGCAAATATTTATTTCCCCTCTTTAAGATGCATTGACGCATCTTTAAAATTGATTTGAGGTAATAGTTCATATCTCATCTAACCGAGATCATCGTTTTCAAATGAACAGGAAAACAGACCATGAAATACTGTGAAACTTCACCTGGATTTCACTCTTCTCTCAGGTCTGAGAGGCCTGACAGGGCTGGGCAGAGGTCACGGCCAGGGCAGAGTGAGTTTCCTCACAGTGACATGCTCCCAGTGAGAACTGCACGTTCCCTGCCCCCTCGGGGAGCTGGCCAAGGCCAACTGTGGCGTAACTGCAGGACGCCAGAGGTCGGAGCGGGCCCAGCACCCGTCCCTACCTGCACAGGGCCTGCACCTGTGAAATGAGGGGCCATCCTCAGGGGTTGTCCTGGCAATACCAGCTCAGACCAAAACCAGAATTTCCAAAAGCAGGACATACTTTTCGTGTCCCCCAGATCAAGGCTATCCACTGCAGTGTTTGGGCCACACCTGCGTGAAGGGTGGGTGGGGGCTGACGTCCTGGGTGCTGGCTGGGGCTGCAGGGACTGTGCCTTCATTCTCACGGGCACCGGGAGCCAGAGGCAGCTCTGTCGTTAACCTGCAGCTTCAGACTGTGCTAGAGAAGCAGTGACTCTGGTGAAGTACAGACTCCGGCCAAATGAAGGGCAACAAATGGCAGGTTGAAGGTTTAAGGTCCGTCGTCTCAAATCCTCAAGACTGAGTCATGCACGGTGATGGTCTTGGGAGGTGGCTGCCCGGCCGTGCCTCCTGTGCTGAAGGGGCAGAGGTCACAGAGCAGGAGAGGGGGGTTAAGGTGGAGTTATGTGGTGTAGGGGGCAGTTAGAAAATGAGAACTGCGTGCCTGTAAAGATTAGCCACTTTAAAGAGCTAAAATGCTGACTACGGCAGATGGATCTCTTTTAAAAACACATTTTCCTGCTTTCTTAATCAGATCACAGTTGGGCCTAATATTTTCTAGGCTGTCACGGTACACGTAACACCACGGTCACATCAGGCCTGCCGAGGCACAGGGCTCCACCCAGGTTTCTGAGGGGGCCGCCATGAGCTCGTCACTAAACAGAAAAGGGCCACATGCACACCCTGGGACATCATCCTGGATGCTCAGAAGTTACACTTGCTGTGTAGTTCTGTGTCCTTAAAGAAGAGATACAGTAACCTGGTGAGAAGAAAACATCTTACGGTAAGAATTACAGGGTGTGGCAGAAGTAGGTTTACAGTTGTTTGCATGGAAAATACAAGAATTAACTTTTGTGTACTGACAACTATAAACCTACTGTTGCCCCAGCCGGTAGGTACTTGATCTTTGTGGAGGTTCCTGCCAGAGCGGCCACACCCTTTGGTGCTTCCTGAGTGGCACGGGAGGGAGGAGCATCTTTTGTTTTTCATAACAGGCCCTTTCAACCAGAGCTGCGTCTGTACTAACGAGGTGCTTCTTGGTGGGCCCCTGGGTGGCTTCAGGATGAGGGACAGCTGCCAGAGGAACCAACCGTGGGATGAAGGGTTGGGACTTTCGCCATCACCTCTGGACCTCCAAAGAGGGCAGATCGAACCAATCGCCCGTGGCCAATAACTTAAATCAACTGTGCCTACACAATGGACCTTCCACCAAGACTGCTAAAAACAGGGTTCCAGGCTGAAGACCCCAGACCAGGCACGGACACTCTGAGCGCCCTGCGGCCTTCATGCTGTGCTCTGTGCTTTTCTTCCCTTGGCTGTTCCACAGTTACACATTTTATAATAAACCAGTAAATGAAGGTAAGGTATTTTTCTTGAATTCTATAAGCCATTCTAGCAAATGACTGAATCTGCAGAAGGGGTTATGGACATCCCCAATTAACGGCTAGTCTGTCAGAAGTACACGTGTCAGCCCAGGGCTTGGGACAGGTGTCTGAAGTAGGGACAGTCTGGTGGCACTGATTCCTTAGACTGAGGGATCGACTCCACCTACTCACCAGACTGCAACTGTAGGAATCCCCGGTTGGTGTCCGGGAAAAACACCACACAGTTGGGAAATCCTACCAGATGGTGGCACAGGGTGACCCTGAACTCCCCTACTCCCACAAACACACCCAACAGACACCGCCTGAAGAACAGCTTCTGCACAAGAGAGACTGCTGAGAGAAGCTGGGGAATCGCACGAACCCTCCAGAACTGGACATGCCGGTGAGTGTCACTCTTGGTCTCCCCCACCCCCCAAATACGCTGCATGGGTGGGAGCCTGTCCAAGTGCTCTGGTCAACCTACAAGGCTGCCACAGTGAGCCCCAGGCCGTCTCTCCACAAGACAGTCCTGGGCAGCCAGGGTGCCGTGGCAGCCGTGCACCTGGGGTTGCCCCAGCCAGCTGGCCACTCGGGGCATCACACAGACCTGTGCTGGCTCTGGTGGCCTGCAAAACCACCTGGCTCACACGGTGTGCACAAAGGTGGTTCCCACACAAGGCCACTTCTTCATGGGTGGGGGAGAGAGCTGTTTTATCTCACTCATAGACATAAACACAAAGTCAAAATAAGACAAAGGCATATGTTCCAAATGAAGGAACAAAACTCTAGTGAAACCAAGATAGTAATTTTTGCTTGATAAAGAGCAAAGTAATGGTCATTAGGATGCTCACCAAACTTCAGAGTAGAATAAAGGACTCAGTGAGAACTTTTAGAAAGAGCTGGAAGATATAATAACCAATCAGGGCTGAAGAATATAATAACTGAAATGAAAAACACAATGGAGAATCAACAGCAGATCAGATCAGTGATTTTCAACCCGTGTGCCACAAGAGTTTTTAAAACATGCAATGCCTCTCTTCCCTTAGACTGTGAAATTAAAAAAAAAAACCCCACCATCCAATAGCCATCCTGTATAAATGAATCAGAATTATAACTTTTATTTTTGTCAAAAATATATTTTAGTAATTAGTTTATATGTGCCACAAGATGAGAAAGGTTGAGAGAACCTGATTAGATCTTCTGTGAGTAATACAGAAGAATGCATTAGTGAGCTGAAAACTCTCCCAACCTGGATAGAGACGCAGGTCCAGAATGCCCAGTGTTCCCAACAAGACGAACTCAGACCCACATCAAGACATACTGTGATGAAAATACTGAAGGTTAAAGAATCAGTCTTGAAGGCAGCAAGAGGAAAACTAGAATATAGAAAAGAACTCCTGTAAGGCTATCAGCTGGCCTTTTTTTTTTTTTTCAGCAGAAGCTTTACAGGTCAGAAGACAGTAGCAGGATATATTTAAAATGCTGAAAAAAAAAAAAAGGAATCTACAAACCAGAATACTCTCTCCAGCAAGGTTATCACTCAGAATTAAATGAGAGAGTTGCCCAGAGAAGCAAAAGAAGTTCCTTAGTACTAAATCAGCTTTGCAAGACATTAAAGGGTCTTCTTTAAGCAGGAAAAAAAGGCCATAATCAGAAATAATACAGAAAGTTAAAGTCTCACTGTTGAAGGCAAGTATATAATAAACATAGTAAATCAACTGCTTAAAAAGCTAATATGAAGGTTAAAAGACAAAAGTAGCAAAATCAACCAACACTAAACAGCAAGATCTCAAGTTTGCCGTAAAAAGACAAGGGACGGGGCGAAATGAAAATGTAGCATTTTTAAAATGCGTTCAAACCTGAATGCCCGTCAGCTGAGAACAGTCTGCTGTCTCTGTAGGTGAATATACATGGACCTCATGGCAACCACAGGCCTACAAAAGATAGCAAAAAAAGGAGAAAGAGGAACCCACACAAAACATGAAAAAAAACAGGAAAAGACAAGGGAAGAGATGGAGAACAGAAAAACTACAGAACAACCAGACCACAGCGAACAGAGCGGCAGCAAGTAGACACCTACCAGTAAGTACTTCAAATGTAAACGGAGTAAATACTCCAGTGAGAAGACTCAGGGTGGCTGCACAGATGGAAGAAAAGGCCTCGCTTTTATTCTGCCTACAAGACACTACTTCACAGCAAAAGGCACAGAGAATGAAAGGATGCAGAAGATATTCTGTGCGTACAGGACTGCTGTGGTGGCACATGCACGCCAGACAGAACAGACTCTGAAACAAAGACTGTAAAAAGAGACTAAGACATCGCGTAATAAAAAGGTCCCTCCAAGAGCAGCATGTAACATGGTGGGTATCAACGCACCCCACACAGGAGCACCCAAATACGTGAAGCAAATGGTAAAAGACACGAGGGGGAACTTGACAATGTTACAACAGCAGCTGGGGACTCGAACACCCCCTCACACCACGGATAGATCACGCCGCCAGTCACTAAAGGAACAATGGCCTTAAATGTCACATTAAGCCACACTGAATAGACATTAAAAAAAAGCATTTCATCCCCAAACTCAGAATATACATTCCACTCAAGTGCAGTACATGCAGCATCCACTAGGTCAGACTGCAGGTTAGGACACGAAGCTGCAGCAAATTAAAGAGAACTGAAATAATTATCAGGCATTTTTTTCTGATGACACTGATACAAAACTAGAAATCAAATAGAAGAAAATTGGAAAAGACAAAACTATGGAGACAAAGCAACATGCTAGCCAACCACCAATGGATCAAAGAGGAAATCAAACAGGCAATGAAAATGGAAACAACTTCCCAAAATGCATGGGATGCAGCCAAAGCAGTTCTAAGGGAGCAGTGCATGCTTAAGGTTTAAGTCGACTTTAAGACATAAACAACCCAAAGTCCCAGATAACGTAATTTTACACCTATAGAACAACTACAACTGAAATTAAGTAGAAGGACCAACATTATAAACATCAGAGCAGAAAAATCAAATAGAGACTAAAAAGCAATAGAAAAGCTGGTGGCAATGAAACTAAAAGGTGGTTCCTTTTGCAGGATAAAACTGACAAACCTTTAGCTAGACTCATCCAGGAAGCAAGGGGAGAGCCCGAAGAGCCCAAAGAAGTGAAATCAGAAATGAAAGAGAAGTGACAACCTACACCAGACACACGAGGACCATAAAGGACGCTACGGCGCTCTCGGTCGAGATGGTGGAGTAGGTGAGTGGGGCACCTGCATCCCCCCACGACCACATCAAAATTCAACCAAACCACAGCGGAACCATCCTCTAGGACCACCTGAAACCTAGCTCGGATGTCCTACAACTAGGGATTTTAAAAAAGAAGCCATATCAACACTGGTAGAAGAGGGGGAGACATGGAATGGATTGGTACAACATTCAGGCGTAGTGGCTAAAAATCGAGGAATATCCTGGATGTGGAGGTCACCCAAGGATCCAGGGGTCCAGTCCCCTGCCCAGCAGGTCTCCATTCCCCAGCAGGTCTCTGCCCCGCACCAGTCCAGGGGTGCAGTGTCAGGAAGAGAGGTCCTTATAAGGACCTTTCAGCCCAGTGCAGTGAAAAGCAGTGGAGACTATGGCTGAGGGTATTAAAGAACTGCTGGAATCCCAGGCATTGCTCTTAAAGGGCCCACAAATGGACTGACCCAAACTCACACACTCTGAGCTCCTGAGCTGGGGCAGCAGCTCACAAAGTCCTAGGGACAGAAATGAGGAGATGAATTATCTGGCTTTGGAGCAAAGGCTGGAGGGGCAGCTTTCTCCTGGAGAGAAGCACTGGCAGAGGTCACTGCTCCCTTGCCGAGCCCTCCGCTCACAGGGCCAGAATTCAGGACTGTGTCTCATTATCCAACAGCCTGGCTAAGGAAACATAGTTTGTCCCAACCTCAGGTGAGTCGTGAGACTGTGCCCCATCCAGCTTGCTGGCCCACTGAAGGCAGTGT